TGTTAGAGTACACTCATGCTAACTTTTATTACAAACCAGAACCCTTTTTTTTATCCAACTTTGATAGCAAATCTAAATAAACTAGTGTGTCGCCACGATGTGTTTTTCAACATAATGGCACATAGTATCTTTGCATCATTACATTTTTTTTAACGCACACATTTTTGTCATGATATGTTTTGGCAGGATGTGGATGTGTGTGCGTGTGCGTGTGTTGCCTTGACTATTTTTCAGGTGTTGTTCTCTTGTTTGTACCTACGTTTTTATCACATGTCAATTTTAGCAAGAATATTCGAAATTGTGTTGTTTTTCTGTCTGCAGCTCTAAGTGGAATATGCCTGCTTGGGTCCATGAGTACCCACGCATTTCCTGCCTTTGTTTTGCTCTGTCGTGAGCCAAAATTTGATGTACTTCAGTCTTGCCTTACATTCATTTCTGTTTTTTCTGATATAAATCGAGCAGGTTCGTGAAGATCTTCCTGTTTGAAACTGGCAAGAGTAGAACCGATTATGCATTTCTTAACCAATAAAAAAAAGTGGAAGTAGACATTTGAACAAACAATCGAGTGAAAAGGAGAAAATAATGACAAAAGAAAAACGGGAGGCTACAATTAACCCAAAATGAGAAAAAACTACCAAAGAAAACAACAGGATTAATGAGCATGCCCTCCCCCCCTACTGCTGTCGTAGGTGGTCGAACGCTTGCACCAGCGTTGGCGCGAAGCGGGTGGTGTTGATGCGGGCGTTCTGCTTAAGGTAGAGCTTAAACATATTCTCCCAACCACTGCGGTGGATGGACTCAGGGTCCTTGATCGCCGGGTGCTCCGGCCCCAGCGTCTCCATCAGCGAGCTCTCCTCCGCGCTTATGCTATAGTCAAGGTACTTGAGCCCCATGTCCGTCGCGCCCTCGCTGAACTCCGCCCTCGCCAGGTACTCCATCTTCCCGTACGGCACCACCTGGATCAGCACGCCGCCCGGCGGCAGGTGCACCGCGTTCGTCAGCCCCGCGCCGTGCATGCCCAGCACCACGTCGAACGAGTTCACCAGCCGCGCCTGCTCCGTCTCGGACCCGTTCACCCGCGGCTCCGACAGCGCCGCCTCGAACCCCGCCGCCTCCGCCGCCTGCAGTATCTCCTGCTCGTTCAGGAACCGGCGGAAGTCCCCCCGGTGGATCAGCAGCAGCCGCGGCTTCTTGCCCGGCTCCCGGGTCGGTGCTTCGCGTGGGAGCGCGTAGGTCTCGCGCACGAACCGCGTGAAGTCGGCCATGGTGAGGGGAGCCCCCGGCACCAGCTCGGGGACGATGGTCAGCTCCTTGTCGAGGTGGAGCCCCACCGTGACGCGCGGGAAGCACCGCACATACGCGTCTCGGTCCATGTCCACGACCTCGTACTTGGACAGCCCATGCAGCAAGGCCCTGTACTTGACCAGCCACCGCGGCAGGTGCTGGATGTTGCTGACCAGGAACGTCACCTCGCCGTGGTACCGCCGCGACGCGACGAACAATGGCACCAGAATGTCGGTGTAGTCATGCCAGTAGTTGCCCACGTAGCCCCCGATCCCGAACAGGACGGCGGGCATAGTGTGTGTCACCGTGCACGGCGGGGCGGCGGATCGGTCCTGCAACTGCGTCACCGTGACCGACCTCAGGCTCTGGCCACCGCGCGCGTACGGTGAGATCATCCACTCCCGGCGCTCCGACGAGACCTGCTCGCTGGGACGAGGGTCACCGACAGTGCTGTGCCGTTGGTGCGGACGTCGCCGTCGACTTCACACGTTTCGGACCAGTCACGCGAGCGGCCCTCCATGTTACACACCACCTTGCCATTATCTGTCACGCGCCAGGAAAGGAGAAACAATTACCATTGTTTTTTTTTTTTGAAAGTTAACAATTAGCATTGTTAAACCATATGCAAATTGTAATGCTTTTTTTTTCCTGTGAAGAAACAATGCAAAATTGATATGCTTACTTGCTATATAGCTCCCGACATTTATAGACATATTTTTTTTTTACTTCTACTCCTACTTATGTGGTGTGTGTGATAAACTAATTAATTCACTTGGTAGGCACCCCATGCCTGCATATTTGACTGGCCATAGTGGGAGTAATTTTAAGAGTAACATCGAGTTCAACTTAGCTAATTTTTCTATGTAGCAATGAGTTAATGAGGATGTAGGTAAATTGAGTAACTTGGCTAGTTACTCATCTATAATACCTAAATAGTTCGTCCCCACTATGATATTTCTCTCAACATGCAAGCTATCCACATCAGCAACTATGCCATCTAAGCAAAAACTGATTCCATTTGCAGCCACGTCATTACTAACCCTACAGCTACCGCCCACACAATTCAATCAAACAAATGAGGGGACTCGGTTTTTAACATCACACATACCAAGAAAAATGAGATATAATCTAATAAATAAAAGTTTGCATCACACTAATATAGTCTAGAATAATGTGTACTATGCTACTCCTCACTCTGACAGTCTATAGCGATGATCAGGATCACAGGATGTTAAATTTAGTATTCACTGCTAACCATGCATTGCCCTGGGTAGGCAACCGTCCATTAGTTTAATGAAAATATTCGCTAGCTAGATCTGAGTTCTTCGAATTGACAAAGTAATCAAGTGTTAGTAAGATCTGTCAGAGTTTTACGCCTATGTCAACCCCCGCAAAAAAAAAACTCCCGTATTTACTGTGAAATTTGAGAGTCGATGTACTCCTACATTACCTCATAGCTTACAATAGACGCGGACATCCGTAGGCTAAATACACAGGAGTCGAAACAAACAGTTTTCCATTTTGCGATTTCTTAGGATACCCAAATTAAACGACCTGAGCATGCAAACTTGATCAAAGCAAAGGACCGGAGTGCTCTGCTCACCTGAACCTTGGATCAGCTGTATGTCCGGGGTCCGCTGCACGTCAGAAGCGACGACTGTAGATTAAGCAACAAGCAAGAGTTTGATCTTCAGCTTACAGAGACTGGGGACTGGAAATAAGCATAGTTGCTGGCACAAAGCAAGACAGATAGGTCAAAAAATACTCACGTGTTTCACTTTCACCAAGAGCTTTTATGAGCTGCATTGCAGCAGGATCTCTACTCAGCTGTTTAAGCGTGATCCACTGCGCTACTGCTGCCGTGGTGGCGACTGCATATGGAGCAACAGGAAAGAAGTGTTGCCGTCAACCGCATCGATCGTGTGTGTGCTCGAGGTAGAAAAACAAAAGCCTCACCGGTCGTCAATCAACAAGGCTAGGATCTAGCTAACGATGAGAGAAGTTGCTATAAAGCATTGTGTTTGCCTCTTGGTAAGCAGAAGATTCATGAAACGGTGAAATGAAAGGGATAAATGGCTACCGCTGAGGCCGCTGATGGCAACCTCCTGCTGGAGGATGAAGCAGACGAGGAGCGCGAAGAGGACGCCGGCGGCGAAGCCGGCGTTGACACGGACCGGCGCACAGCTCATCGCCACTTGCTTTCTCTTGCTGTGGTGAGTGAGTGAGGACGTGTGTGCTAGTTGAGTCTGGTTAGCATTAGTACTGTTGTGAACAGGTTGAATTGCTGGTGATTAGTTTTTGGGTAGATTCTGCACCTGGCGGCGTACGTGGTATGGTGGGGGTGTGTGCACGTCGCAGTATGAGTGAGTTTCGCAAGTTATCGAGGGTCTTCCACTGGTGAAGCATACGTAGTACGTATTGTTTATCCCAGCGGGATCACCGACGACAGTTGAATTTGCCCAAATGCACCTGGCGTAAACAGTAATTACGTCCCTGTGTTTGTATTTAATCGGGCAGAGTACATGCAACATCATATTGCAAGTTTGCAACTGATTAGACTATCTTAAGTACAAGTCCATGTCAACGTGAAGATAGTAATGGCCACACGTGAAGTTGCAGTGCATGATTCGTGGTCTGACCGAGCGCATAGCAGCCGGCGGTGTAGCGTGGACGCGATTGATACCTATCACTCACACCTACTCCTTCATCCTTAAAAAAGTGTACTTCCAACATTATGAGGGTCAAACCAACCGAGTTTATGCAAAAATATATTAATGTTTGTGAAGCTAAATAGGTATATGATAAAAATATATTTTATTATGAATCTAATGCTACTAATTTGACGGCATAAATGTTCATATATTATTATATAAATACGGTCAAACAAAAAATTGACTTTACAACAAAATTAGAAGTACACTCTTTTAAGAACGGATAAAGTACGGGAGTATGATGATGGGAAGGACATGGGAGATGAGTTATTACCTTGAAGGAAAAGTGCGGCTCTGGAAAGTGTCCATGGCGGAGATGGTGGCAGTGAGCGGCGCATCTAAGGAGTAGGTATCACGCTAAAAGGGGCCGGAACAGATATGGATGACATACACATATGCTTCTGTGTGAAGTAAGATGTGCTCTCTACAGGGCCTGCCGCATATGCTTCTGCATGGAGCACTCCTATGCTTCACAACAAAGCATACATGTGCTTAGCACAGATCACACCTAAGCCCCGGACAGACCAAAAACCTAGGAAAACATGAAAAAACCAGGAAAACATGGAACTAAGGATAAAAGAACAAATAAAACTTAAAAAATGGTCCGTGAGGGAATCGTCCAATGCACAACACATGAGAATGCCGGAGTGCTCCCACGCACCAAAAGTACCCCTTGTGGTGCATATGTTAACTAGTTGCTCTTCATACACACCATGTTTGTCGATATGCATGGGTTGTGCCTATGTTGAAGATGGAAGGGCACCTTGTTACGTGAATACTTGGGGACACTTAAGGCCACCATTGGCCAAATTTAACACAAAATGGCCCAAATTATTATAGGAGTAGCGCACCTTTATAACATATGCTAAATCACGCTTACTGTGAGGTTGCATTGTATCTAGGCCTGGCGGTTTTGGGAACTTTTGGTCCATGTTTTTAATTTATATATACGTTTGTGTTTTCTCTATTGGTTTTTTGCTTTCCTTAGGTTTTATTAAAAAAATCACTTTCTTGTTTATTTTATTTTTACCTTTTATCTCATTTTAAAAATACATTATAAAAAAATTCAAATACGTGTTTTATGTTTTTAAAACACACATTAATTTTTTCTGAATACATGTTGAACTTTTTTCAAACAGACGTTAAATAGTTTTAGATACCTGCGAAACATGTTTTTGAATACATGTTGAACATTTTTTAAATTAATGGCGAATAACACACAATGATAATTTTTGAAACACATGTTGAACATTGGTTTCTAAATACATGGTGAATATTTCCTTAAATATGTTTTACATTTTTTTAAATACACATCGAACATTTTAAACACAAGATGGACTTTTCATTGACACATGAAGAATGATGAAATTTTTATAAAAACATGGTGAGCATTTTCGTAATAGATGATACATTCTATATGATATACATGTTTTTTTAATACATGAGCATTTTTGTAAAACATTCTAAACATTTTTTAATCACACGATGGACCATTTCCAAACATCTGATGGATATTTTTTAAAACACTTTTATAAATTATAGGAACATGCTTCTAATATGTTCCAAATCTATTTTCATGGATCATTTCACAAAATATACAGAAAAAAATGTATAACATACCTATGGTATGCGGGGTACGTGGTGACTCATGCACACTCCGTCCGGCGCTGGGCCTGGCCTATTTTGGGGAGTTGCTAATGTGATCTGCGCTTCCATCTTTGCTGTAGGCGAGGTATAGCACTGCCCGACCAATAATACCGCCGATGATACGATCGGTTCGCAAGAAATAGCCCACTAGTGCTACTGGTAGGGCGGGCCTTTATCAGAGGCAGCTAATTCACCCTAGTTTTGCGAATATTTTAGAACCGTTCGCTCGGTCTTCAGAAGCTTCTGGAATATTCCACCTGACTTTCAGATTTTCTTCATAAGGTTGTTTCTTTCTTTTCTTTTCTTTTCTTTTTTTATTTTATCAAGGTTTTTAGGTTCTCTTTATTATTTATTTCTAAGTTTCTTATTTCTTTTCTGTTTATCAGTTTCTTTTCCTTCTACAATTATATATTTGTGAACATTTTTTAAATTGACGAATAGCTTTTCAAAAATTCATCAATTTTTTTGCATTCTCGAACTCTTTTTAATTCATGATTTTTTAAATACATTACAAAATCCTTGAACTTTCTTGAATTTGTGGCCATTTTTAAAATTCTTCAAGATTTTTTACCTGTTTCATGAAGATTTTAAAAATCATGAAAATTTTCTCAAAATTGTGAATAAATTTTTATTTTCAGTTTCTTAATTCACACTAACATATTCTGAAATAGCAGATATGTTTAAATTCATGAACATTTTTCAAAAATATCTCAAATTTTTTTCAAATTCGTAAGTATTAAAAGTGTTTGAAGGGCTAACCATAAATAAAAGGTAATAAACTACAACTGCTCACAAATGCCAAAAACATTTAACCTTTTATTTTGTCCATTAAAATATCAAAACTGTTAGATCAATTTTAAAGCCGGAAAAATTACCCATCAATAGCATGCACTAAATTATGAAC